ATTTCCCCTGAGTGTCTTACGGGGCAGCCTGGGTGACCACCTGCATGTTGCCCACTCCTGTTGTTCAGTCACCTGAAATCCAGTTAACTAGGGTTTTCTCTCCCCCAATCAACCTCCTCTTACCCTGAGGTCTCATGGGGAGTGTGTCTCAGAGTCTCAGTAGGGTGGGCACAAGGAGCAAGGCTTTGTAGCACCCTCTCTAAGGAATTCACTCTCTGGGGAAGCTTAGCAAACATTCTCATCTTCTGAAAATGATCAGATATGTTGAGGTACCAGCAGACAGTGGGAGACTGAGGCAGATTATTTTAAATTGACCTGTTTTATTGACTCTGCTGTGCTCTGTTGCTTTGTAGATTTAGTAGGCCAGTATTTCAGAGTAATTGCTAACCATTTATTGATAATTTGTAACCATTTAAAATTGGATTTTAATTGTTTTGTTATTTAATATTGTAAATTGCCCCAAGGAACCATTTAGGTTTCAGGATGAGATAAAAGTATAATAAATCTGCCCCTATTGCACCTTGTCTGGAAAACTTGTACTTTAGAGCAAGCACAATGTTACCTTCAGAAACATGTTTCCTATATGTAATTTGCAGCAGAATAGTATGACCATGTCACCCTTAACCTATAGGATCAGAGCAGGTAAAATCTAAAAGAGCTGCTTTATACCAGGTCATGTGCTCCATCCATTAATTAGCTCAATAATTTTTTGCTCTGCCTGACAACAGCTTTCAAAATGAAAGCTTTTCTGATCAGGTCCTTTTAGCTAAATCTGAGAACTCGTGAAGCAAGAGTGGGCAACTTTATGGCGTATATACGGGTTCACACACGTATATATTTGTGTATTCATATTCACATTCACATACAGCAAGCCATATGCATACCCACACAGTTATCTCTGTTAGGAGAGGCAGATGTTAACCTCACCCCAAACCCAAGTAATTCTGATCAAAACCTCTATGTATATGCCTGTCTTTGTGTTTGTGATGCAAATGTGCCTACATCTTAGCAGTCCAGTCCCTATTAAGGTCACTGGAAGTATGGCAAGGTTAAATATAAGAACATAAGAGACCTGCTGGATCAGGCTAAGGGCCCATCTAGTCCAGCTTCCTGTATCGCACAGGGGCCCCACCAGATGCCTCTGGGAGCACATGAGACAACTACCGGTGGTTACCTGTCTCCTGATACTCCTCCTCTGCATCTGGCATTTGGATGTACCTTCCTTTGAAGCCTGGAGACTGCACATTCCCATCATGGCTTGTAACCTACAATGGACTTTTCCTCCAGGAATCAGTCCAATCCCCTTTTAAAGGCATCTAAGCCAGATGCCATCACCACATCTCGTGGCAGGGAATTCCACAGACTGACAATACGCTGGGTAAAGAAACATTTTCTGTTCTCACTCTCCCAACACTCAATTTAAGTGGATGTCCCCTGATTCTGGTACTGTATGAGACCAAAAAGAGCTTCCCTCTATCCACTTTATCCATCCACTGCATAATTTTATACGTCTCAATCATGTCCCCCCCTTAGGCACCCCTTTTCTAGACTAAAGAGCCCCAAACACCTTTCCTCGTAAGGAAGATGCTGCAGCCCAGTCATCATTTTAGTCGCTCTCTTCTGCACCTTTTCCATTTTCACTATGTCTTTTTGAGCTGCAGTGACCAGACTGTACGCAATACTCCAAGTGTGGCTTTACCAGCGTTTTGTACAATGGCATTATAATGTTGGCTGTTTTATTTTCAATCCTCTTTTTAATTATCCCTAGCATGGAATTGACCTTCTTCACTGCCGCCACACACTGTGTTGACATTTTCCTCGAGCTGTCCACCAGCAAGCACACCAAGATCTCTTTCCTGATCCATTATGGAGAACTCAAAACCCATCAGCCAATAAAGTTCTGATTTTTCTTTTTGCCCCAATGTGCATTACTTTACATTTTCTTATATTGAAACGCATTTGCCATTTTACTGACCATTCTGTCAGTTTGGAGAGATCCTTCTAGAGGTCTTCATAAACCCTTCTGGTCTTCACCACCTGGAAAAGTTTTGTGTCATCTGCAAACTTGGCCACCTCACTGTTTATCCCCATCTCCAGGTCATTTATGAAAAGGCTGAAAAGCAACAGTGCCAAGACATATCCCTGAGGCACACTGCTTTTTACCTCCCTCCATTGTGAAAACTGACCATTGACACCTACTCTCTACTTCCTGGTTCTCAACCAATTCTCAGTCCATAAGAGGACCTGCCCTCTTACCCCTGACTGTGGAGCTTTCTCAGTAGCCTTTGGTGAGGGACCACATCAGACGCCTTCTGAAAATCCAGATAGACAATATCTACTGGTTCAGCCGCATCCAGATGCCTGTTGACCTTTTGAAAGAATTCTAAAAAGCTTGTGAGGCAAGACTTAGCTTTACAGAAGCCATGTTGATTTTCCCTCAGCAAGGCTTGTTCTTCTAGTTGTTTTAAGATTTTATCTTGGATGAGGCTCTCCACCATCTTTCCTGGAACAGACGTTAGGCTAACCAGCCTGTAGTTTCCCAGGTCCCCCTCCTTCCCTTTTTAAAGATTGACGTGACATGTGTTATCCTCCAGTCCTCTGGCACTATGGCCGTTTTAAAAGGGAAGTTGTATATTTTAGTTAAGAGATGAGCAACTTCATACCTCAGTTCCTTAATAACCCTTGGGTGGATGCCATCTGGGCCTGGTGACATATTGATCTTCAATTGATCAATTAGGTCTAAAACATCCTCTCTTTTAACCTATATCTGATTTAATTCATTAGTCAGGAGGGGCCATTCAGGCAGCAGAAACTGCCCAAGGTCTTTTGTCGTGAAGACAGATGTGAAGAACTAATTGAATTTCTCTGCAATCTCCAAGTCCCCCTTTACTTCCCATTTCCCTCCCTCACCATCCAGAGGGCCAGCTGCTTCTCTGGCAGGTTTTCTGCTTCTAACATATAAAGAAACTTTTATTATTCCCCTTTATATTGCTGGCCATACGTTCTTCAAAGTCTTTCTTTGCCCTTCCATATTAATCATCTTACATTTCTTTTGCCAGAGTTTTGTGTTCCTTTTTATTTTCTTCATTTGGGAAGGATTTCCATTTACAGAAGGACCCCTCCTTGCCCTTTAAAGCCTCTCTAACTCTGCTCGCTAGCCGTGCCAGCACCCTCTTGGACTTAGTTGAGCCCTTCTTTCTTTGTGGTATATACACTTCCGCCGGGCCTCTACTACCGTTGTTTTAAACAGGCTTCATGCACTCTGGAGAGATTGGATTCTTTTTACCTTCCTTTTCATCTTCTTTCTAACTAGTTTCCTCATCTGAGGGAAGCCCGCTCTTCAGAAATCAAGGGTTTTTGTGTCAGATTTGCTTGACACTCTCCCTCCAACATGCATGGCGAAAGGGACTGCAGCATGGTCAATGCGTTTTTGGGTTTCTGTGTGGGAGTGTATCAGATTTGACTTCTTCTTCTCTGTCTTTTTGTGTTGTTCCAACGCAAACCAAAGAAATGACGAGAGAAGGGTTGCATTTTCTGACAGAATTGCAAGGGTGCCAATATTTTTGGCCATGACTACCCATACATATGTCACTCGGGGCAAAACATGGGTTAGCCCCCAAACCCACTGCTGTCTGTCTGACTGCATGTTGATATTTGTTAAGAGCTTGCCAGGCCTCTTCTCAAGGGAAGTGACAGGCAGTATCTGGGGCCCTGGCTTTCTCGCCCTAAACCCACGGTGTCTTCTTATCCTGCACTTTGTTGCAAGAGGCACTCGTGCTCGAGCAAGGCCACTCACTCACTAGGAGGCCTGGATTTTAAACTTTCTCTACCCCACTGATCTCAGCCAGCTTCACTGCTTTCCCACCATTGTTACTAGCATGCAGTCATGTAAAGGTAAATTTGGAAGTGAAGGTGCTCACCACAACAGTCCCATAGCCCTATTCTTCCATGGCACCCAAAAATGCAGGCTGCTGGATCAGTTTATATGATCAAGTGAAGAGCACATATTTTGTAAAACTTAATTGCCCATTCAGGATCAAACCACCCTCAAATTGTTTGCATTGCAACAAGGATAGACTGCAATAATTACCATTGCTGGAAAATGTTATTTCTCTCCCAGCCACCATGAGGGCAGCATGTAAGCCCAGGAGAAACAGACAATCTTCAGGGTGCTGACAGTATCATAGTCCTTGCTAATGAGAAGATCCCAAGGCTTCAGCCATGCAAGTCTTGCTGCTGCGCCATTGTGATATGCAAGGAGCAATCTTTGACTGCTCAGAAGGGAGGTGGAGGCTAGAGCTTCCTGTCCCACCACCAGTCTGGTCAGGATCTTTGTCCAGATACTGCTAATTGCAAGAGCAATATTTCAAGATATTTGGAGAGCCAAAGGTTTCTGTGGCAAAGTTATGATTTTATCTGAAGAAATGGTCTACCATCCTGCTAGGCAAAAGGTTAAGGTTCCCCTTGACATTTAGTCCAGTTGTGTCCGACTCTAGGGCGCAGTGCTCATCCCCGTCTCTAAGCCGTAGAGCCAGCTTTTGTCCGTAGACAGTTTCTGTGGTCACGTGGCCTGCGCGGCTAGACACGGAATGCCATTACCTTCCTACCGTGGTGATCCCTATTTATCTGTTCACCTTTTTACATGCTTTCGAACGGCTAGGTTGGCAGGAGCTGGAACATCCTGCTAGCACACTGCAAATACCAGTCTTGGAGAGCTTATGCTCTTTGAGCTGGTGTCAGTCACTGCCTGCACTGAAACTGGTCTTTCGCACAATCTCTTATTATTGGTTATGCAGGGTAAGTTTTCTGAAAGTTAAAGGGCACAACATCTGGAAAGTCAAATGGTCCTATACCACTGCTCTGCCTTAAACCATTGTAAGACATCTTAAATGAATTAATTTCATTCTTCAGGCTTTTTTTAAATTACAGCATCTGCCCACAACATTTGTGTTAGTAATTTTAGTGTTATTAATGTTCTCTGTTTTTTTAAACCTGAATAGAACAAACTGGGAAGAGAACAATGGGAAGGAGAAATGACCCCAAGAGAAAAGGGAGGGATGACAGGAAGAACAGCCCTGAGAAGAAAGAGAAGAGGAAATCAGGGAATGAGCTTGTGCTGGGACAGCTAGGTAAGTTTAATTTCAGAAATAAAATATTTTAAGATATGAGTGGAAGTGTTCAAATGATACCCAGGGATATTATGGAGAAAAAGGATAATGATAAATATACTTTATACTCCACGTTCCACCTGTACTTTATTTTAGGATGTTTTTTGTTGATTTTCATCAGGCCTGGATTTGGCACAAGAAGCAACGTTGGTGCAGGAGTGAGCAGTTTACTACAGCACTGCAATACCTGCACCAGCACCCCCAAATATTTTTCACAAAGATGTTTGTTTCTTTGTTGGTTTGTAGCTAGAGATGGACAAACCAGCTGTTTGTGCCCATCTCTGTCTGTAACTGTCAAAAACCCCTTACACACTTTAAAGAGCATAGAAGATGGTGTGGACTACTCTTTGCAGTTCTGGAGGAAATATATACAGTGGTGCCCCGCTAGACGATAATCCGTTCCACTGAAATCGCTATTTAGAGAAATAATTGTCTAGCGGAAAGCATTTCCCCTTTTGAATGCATTGAAACCTATTTAATGTGTTCCAATGGGGAAGAATCGTCGTTGTCTAGCGAAGATCGGCCATAGGAAAGCTGCTTTGCGAACCGCCGATAAGCTGTTTAAATCGCTGTCTTGCGAAGCTTAGGTCCCGAAAACACCTGTTTTGCGAGCGCGGACAGAGCTGTCAAAGTCGTCGTCTAGCGAAAATCGGTTTGCGAAACAGGGACCAAACATTGTCCAGCGAAATTCCCCCATAGGAATCACTGTTTTGCGAATCACTATAGCGATCGCAAAAAGTCAATGTTTAGCGAAAAAACTGTCATGTGGGGTAACTGTCTAGTGAGGCACCACTGTAGTAAGACCCCTATGCCACACTGGGGGGTCTGTCCATGTGATGCAGGTGCGGTTGAAAGACATGTTAGGTTTTCTTGCCAGTTTCATCAGGAAATACGAGTCAAGTTTACACTTCCTCAGCTTAGAAGGCTTTCAGGCTGCTCAGATTTCAAGACTGTTAGGAAGCTACGTACTTATAGGTCACAATCTGCAGACTACAGCTTCCTGTGTAAAGTTGTTTTTTTGCAGAAGTTGGTGGCATTCAAATGACATTTTATGTAGTGAATAAATTTTTAACATTATTTGCTTTAATCTTTGATTGGGTAATGTTTAAACCATTGTGAAATTTCTTTATTTCTCTAAGACATGAACCACTACTAACGTATCTTAGATATTTGCAAATGTTGCAATGTGAATTGTGCTGGTCGTTGATCACATTAATAAACAAATGAACAAAAGTGACCATAGAGAGCAATTCTGCTTTTTTTTCTCCCTCCGCCCTGTTTTGGATGGCTGGGACCATTTCCTGATCTCATAAATGTTGTCCAGTTTTGGAAGTTACCAATTCCTGCTGTGTTAGATGACCAATGCTGCAGAGAGTGGGACAATAGGAGTGGGAGCCCTCAATTCCCCTGGATTTCACAGCAAATTTCTATATTCTTTTCACAAAGAATACAGAGCCAAATGCCACAGGTTGGGAGTTTGAGTCCCCACTGTGCATCCCAGGAGAAAAAAAATCTATGTAACTTTGGGCAAGCTGCACAGCCCAAGGATACCCCCCCCCCAAGGAAGGGAACGGATGATGAGGAAACCCTCAATGATGAGGAAACCCTGGAAAGGATTGCCAATAAGTCAGAATTGACTTGATCACATATAATTATTATTATCATTCCATATTATCAAACATGATGACCCTCAAGACCAGGGTATCTACAGATAACTGCTTGGAAACAATTCTTGTCCTATTCTTGGTAGTCATTTGCAAAAGGTGGAGCTGGGCAGTTAGGGCTTGATCTCATGGCATTGGGTAGGGAATGCTTTCTATGGGTAAAGTTGCCTGGCCTCCCCTCTTGTGTTCTTTTAGTGATAAAGACCTCCCTCTCAGCTCTTAAATCTCTCATGCTGTGAGGTTACATTTGATGCTGTGTGGTTTTGTGGGGTTGTTCTTATTCTTGTGACGTCTTTAGCATTATTTTGGTAAATTTATGATTATGTGTTTTAGTATTGCTCAGCTGCTCTTGTTATTATAGGAAGTACAAAGGTTGGGTGAAAACATTTGCCTGTTGACTCATAACAGTTTTGTCTATTGACATAGTGAGCACGAATTGCGTGAAGGGAACGGGAAGTGAGACACAGAGAAACATGGCTCTTAGAGCACCACGCATCAATCCAACCATGTAGCATTTTGTTGTGAGACCCAGCTTACTTACTCTATGAAGGTTCTGTATTCACCCATTGCAAAACATTTGACTTAAATAATTGGTAGTGTAATTTACATTTAGACTTTCAAGACCAGCACATTTTAAATGTGGTATTATTTTTCTTGTCTGTGATGTTACATAATATATTAGTTCAGGGTGGATTTTATTTAAATCAGGGCATGTGCGCGTGTGTGACGATTTAAATTAAAATTTGATTTTAAAAAAATTAAATTGTGATTTAAAATCATTGTGTTTTTTTTAATCTACCCTATATTATTCCTTCCCAAACCTCTGCCCGCTTAATTATTTGCCCAGGTATTACTTAACTGCCACTTAAAACTAAGGTTACATTCATTTTTAAAAATCAACCTGTTGAATGTTTGTCTTTTAAAGTGTTTCCTGCTTTTTTCTACCCATCATTTTTATAGGCTTGTCGACTTCCTTTCCTATTGATGGGACCTTCTTCAACAGCTGGCTGGCTCAGTCTGTACAGATCACCACAGAGAACATGGCAATGAGTGAGTGGTCCTTGAACAATGGCCATCATGAAAATGCCACCTCAGGCCTTTCTGAGGAACTCCTACAAGATGAAGAGACTTTGTTGAGTTTTATGATGGATCATTCCTTGAAGTCCCCACTGAAGCAGAGTGACACAGCTAAGAAAGCAAAGAGCAAAGTACGAACACACACCAAGAAAAAACCTGCAAGAAATGGCTTGAATACCATCTTTAAGAGACACCAAGAAGATTCTCATCAATGGACTAACACAGATAATGTGTCCAATCACACCACAAAATCTTTATCCCATGATTTAAGAAACAGCAAGGTAGAGAAAGGTTTGGACAAACTTCAGCCAGAGTGCAGAATGGTGTGTGAAGTGAAAAAGACAGCTAAGAAGGGCTCTTATCATCCTGCACCTCCTCTTCCAAAAGCAAATGATTCTCAAGCCTCCCAAAGCCTGATTAATAACCTAAGCAATGATGAAGAGGAATCGGTGAAATACACACCATCCTATCCCAGCTCCCTGGTTAAAGTGCCTGATGCAGTAGGTAGCCCGAAAACAGTGGTGCGGTTCAGATTACCCAAAGAGGGCAGAGGGACTCGGAGATCGCAGAATGAGAAGCTTGAGGTGGTTAATGGACCTCCCGGAAGTGACAGATCAAAGGTTATCTTACATCCTTTTGACAATGAGACTGATGGTTACTTCTCAGATGCAGAAATGAGTGACTCTGACACAGAATCTGGTAGTGGCAGAGGGCACCGTAGCCAGTTAGATTCAGGAAATGAGGATAATTTCAGAATGAGTATTTTGGCATCCTAATACACCAGACAGACCAATTGTGATAGCTTTGTGACACGTAAATCTAGTTACAACTGCCATGTCCAGTTTCCGCCTGGTATCATGTCAAAGGGGTTTAGTTTGTCCATTTGTTTATTTTGTTTTTAATTTGTATATATAGTTGAAACATGAGCGCTGTTGTTTTTCCTCTTCTCTATATGACTGAGAAACAGCTCCGAGCTTCACTGACCTAGATTTGCATATTGCAACAGTAGTTAGCCCTTCTTAGTCAAACTTTACATATGCTGGTTAAACAAAATGCAAGCATGTGCATCATTAGAGACTTAGGCTTATTGATCGTGAGCAGGACATCTTAGAATTATAATGAGGAGGCCTGAAATTGCCAGTATCTGTTGTTCATGTAGGGATGACAGTTTAATGGGCATTATTTAAATCGAGATAATAGATTTCATGGTCTGCCTGGTGTTACTGCCCCTGTTTGGCAAGGTGTACAGAATGGAAATACTACTACAGTAGCCAAGTATGTACACAGAATTTAATAGATTATATATATATATATCTGTGTGTGTGTGTGTGTTGATATGCTTGTGGGTGTGCATACATGAGTATGTGCACACATGTGCAGGGGTTGTGTGTGTGTGCAACTATGAAGTAAAATAAGCGATTATTTTTTGAAGAAGCACAACAAGCTTATTTGAAGAAAGCACTTAATGGGTGGAGGAATACAACAGTGTATTTATGCTCTATTGGATCCTTGGTTTTCCTTTCTCGCCTCTCCAGCTCCATCTGAGTCCGTCCAAGGGGCTGAGAACCATAGTTTAGCCTCGTCTCCCCAGCTGTCAGCCGAGCAGCATTGTAAGCATTCATCTAAGGCTCTCCATAATTGAAGAATTACATATCTGTACTAAAGCTGCTCTGTAGGTATGTCTCATTCAGCAACTGTGGGTATTATTATTCATTGGTGAAACTTAAAAGCGCTGGTTATCAGAAGCAATTCCCATAATTTCCTCAGGTCGATTAAAGTAGCCTTTTGCCAAAACATTTGGGCCAAAATAGACATTAGGGAAGGAATAATTCCATAGATCAAAGCAGGTAATTGTTCCAAATTTTTGTAAAGTAATAATAATAATCCTACAGCTTCAGTTCCCAATGTTGCAAAGGAACTCAAGCCTATGCTTTCAGGGTGAATAGGCAAATTATGGCTCACCTGTTCAGAGAGCTAAACACGTAAGCTTCTGTTGTACAGAAGGGGTTGTTTGCTTATAAACACAACATACACCTGTCTGTTTTATTTGTTTTTTCCCTCTAAACTCTGTAACTAACTTGGTGGCACCCCCTCTTTCCATCCTTCCGTTTCATAAACTGCAAGTCTGTTACCAAGCTGTCACCTCACCCAAGATGGTGATTCCCAGAAATTGTCACTCTAAACAACGGTGTGCATAAATCGTCTCTGATAAGCCTTAAATGTTCTTCATATTACCTATATATGTCACGCAGATTTCTGTATTTGCACTTAATTACACCATTACTCCCAATGTTGGCTTTGAAGTTCACAGTTAAACGTTTGCTACATGCTTTATGAGAGTGACCCCAGTGTGAGCTCAGGGAATAAACACAAAAAGAAAAGTGACTTTACTAAAACTTTTTGTTGTTGGTATGTTACTTTAAATATATATGTGCATATCAATGTACTGGGACACTTCTGTTTGTTAACCCCTTTTTTTTTCAAACTGGGGGAGACTTAAGACCTTGCAGTTGTTCAGATGAATCAGTGAAATTGTTTTATGGATGCCAAAGAATATTTTGAGAATAAAATAGCACAGCCAGAAACCGGAAACTCGTTATTTGAAAACAAAACCGAAAGAATGAAAACTGTTCAGCTACAAAATGACTAACTCTGTGTTCATGACACAGCTGAGGCATTAGGTTGCAAGCTTGCTGAAGATGATGCTTTATCATTTGGATCACCTCCCACCATTTTGATTTCTGATGCTCTTTGCTCATTTCAGCCCGAGCAATGTTGGTTTTATGTTATCTGATGATGCCATACATTGGCTATCCTTGGGTTCTACTTTCATTTTTATTTTATTTTTAAGGAGTCAGTTCATTCTCAAGCCTTCCAAAGTACTTAACACTCCAGCTAAGTTACAATTTGGAGAATCTTGATTCTGAAAAGAAACCAAAATCAGGAGCTAAACAAACACCAGTGTTTTGCCGATTTGAAAAGTTTTGTTCACAAAATGATTTTTTAAAAAGTATTAACTGAACGTAATCAATTTGACATTCTTCTGGCCCACAAGGTTTGGCAAGTAAATTCTGCTCCTTATTCAAGGCTTGATGTGTTCAGATATGTTAAATACAGTAAATAGGACTTAGTTTTATCTTATCAAGCTTGCTAAGCTTTAGCTACAATATCCTAGTTACGTCATACAGGTAATCAATATGCTGCCTTTTAATGGATCTTGCTTCCGTGTGCTTCAGTTTACCTATAGCTATTTACAAAACACAGGGAAAAATCCAGAAATCTCACTGTACACAGCTTCATTCATCAGCTACTGCATTATTTGCCTACTCACGCAGTTCAGGACAGAAAAACGGGAAACTTTAAAGAACAACCAAACTAAAGCAGCACCTACCTCCTTTATTTAAATAGTTTGTAATCTGTAAAACACTCCATTCCTAGTTTGAACAAGAAATAATTATGAACCAAAAATGCATTTTGACGACAGAAAGAAGAAATACTCTGCCTTGCTCTAGTGTATGCAGTGAATTAACAGATTTCTATGTGCAAAGTCTCATAAAATGCTCTGTTCTCTATGGGATGAAATTATGATTTTGAGTGTTTCTTAAGGTTGAAGAGACTGAATAGCCTCTGCTCACAAGAAAATTGACAGGGCCCAATGAAGTTCTGGATCATGGCTTTTCTAATTGTTATATCAAAATTTGTAGTTACCGTGATTGTACAATCAGAATAAAAAGATGGGGGGAGTGTATTTGGCTTAGTAGCATAGAGAATGCGACAGAGAAAAAGGAGAAAAGTACAGTACTTAATTTTAATTACATGGAGATAAGAGTTTGAATTAACTAATGAGACCTAACAGAATAAACCTAGGATGTATCTGGTGAGATCCCCTTCTGGTTACAGGAGTAGCTTGGATCCAGAGGCATACTTTCCACAAACTGAAGGGGAAAATATTTTTCACTGATTCTACCTGCAGTTGCCCATGTTCCATGCTGCAGATTACTGGCAGTTGCAGTAGGAAGGGGAAGCAAAACCTATTCCCCCCCCTCCTTTGTCAAAACTTCGCCTGGATTCAGTCCTATGTCAGAAAACAGTTCTGCCCTATTTGACCAGGACAGATAAGTATTTTACTTCTTTACTCTGGTGAAAATACTGACATATTTGCATAATAGCTGAGGAGTATCTTTGCCTGGACCTATAAATATGCTTTTGAGTGTCCCCCAGCAGTGTTCACAATTTAACAGTAGACCTTCCATTGGAGATCATTAGGTATACTGGAGCCAGAGTTCTGGAGGAATTCATATAAACTTCACTTGTGTCATGTCATACAGTAGTTGGAAAGAAGTAACTGTTCAGAAGTGCCCCAGATGTTTACTGCAAGCTGTCCCCATCAGCTGAGGGCAGGTATATCTAGCTAGCTGCACTAGGATGTTGCTCATAGGAAAAGGCATTACTACCTACAAGGAAATGTTTCTTTGGCTCAGATCTAGCTCTGACATTTTAAATAATTTCCCAAAAAAAGGGGTTTCCAGTCATGTCACTAAGAACTTGGACGTTTTGTTTATGCTCACTTGACAGCTAGTTACGTCATACAGGTTATCATACAGGTATGAATTGAATTTCTTTTGAGAAGAAAATACTTTCTTCCCCCCCCCCCCATATTCAATGGCAGAGAAGAAACTATATGGAAAATATTTCTATGCACTGTAAATGAAACTTCCAATGCAAAAGGAAAAGGCCTAAATGATCTATTTTATTAAATAAAAGTTTTTCAGATGATGCGTGAACTTCAGGCATTGACATTTGCACTGTAAAAGGTGATCCCTGTTTCCTTTGGGAAAGCAACATCATGTTTTGTATCCACAGAGGAGTAATTATTCTCCTTTCTGGTTCATTAGGAGCAATCAAACTTCAGTTTTAAAATATTAGTATTCAGTGGTGTTTCCTAGAGACAATTTGAATTTTACTCATACATTACAGCCCCCTTGATTTTCTGGAATAGCTGTTATATGTCAAATTCTGACAACATTGTAGATAATTTGATTTATTATTTAAAAATTAAGTAAAATGTTTGGTAGGTTTTTTTCTTCAAAGCACAAGGGAGAATTAGCTATTTCAGTAGAGATAAAAGAAAACAAAGCATTCAATCCCGCTTTTTCTTTTTCTGCTGGACTTCTGCAAACTGGATCTTTCAATTTCCTATTACCCAGTAGGTGTGTTGATTTGGTTGTTCTTTAAGGAAAGTCTTGTATACTTTGCTCCATTCCACACAGACACAAAACACAACCCACTCCGTACCAGTTACAGGAAATGATATGAATGTCACAGAAGGCAAAGTCCTTCTGTTTTCTTTGTTTCAAAGAAAGTGATGTGCCATTTGTTAATATAAAAGAGAAATATTGAAAATATATTGAAAAGAGCAATTTTAAATTATTTTTGGCTTATGTTGCAATATTTATTTTCTTGTATTAGAAATTCCTTTGTAGAGAAAAAATGTATTTTTCATTAAATGCAAAAACCTATTTCTCCTTTTTGTACATTTTCCATGTTAGTTAATCCTTAAAGCAATATAATGTATCAAAATTGTTCTGTGTGAAAGCTGTATTATGCATGCTGTTTGTGTTGCCTTGGAATAGGTCTGTCTGCCATAATTTTCATCATGTTTCAATTCAGTGTATGCTTTAATACACGTTGGGACCATGGCCCGTTTGCTTATGAAAAAGAAACCTTTGCATTCTTCAGTGTGTTGGCAAATGCAGTCAATAAAGCCGTGTTTTCTGTGTATTTTTGCCTGGATATTGCATACTCAGCAAGACTAATTTTTTACTTCGTTATCAGAAGAACTTATCTTTTCATGGTGCTATAATTCCTTGGTAACAGTGAGCTTTAGACTTGTTAGCATCTATACAGTATTAATTAGTTCCTATCAAAATTCAGGATATAATTAGATTTTAATTCCTTAATGGTGGTGCTCTGTGTTTGCCACAGTGCTATTAAAGTACCACCAAAACGGAAAAAATCAGCAAAACATAGTGCTAGCTATTTAGTTCAGTCTCCTAGAGATATGAAAGTGTGTGCCTTGAGCAAACCTCAAACATTTTACACTACATATCAGTATGACTGGAAGTGTGCAGAACACTTGCTGAAATCCTGGAAGCCAGGGGAATTCCTAAACACAATTTTTAGAGGAAAAATTGCTATAAATAAGAGGTCCTGAAAACTGTATTCTCTGGTCCTGTTCACACTTCCACCTGGGCTTTTAAACACAAGGAAGACAGTAGGAATTGCTTTGCTTACATGATAATTCCTGCTTACCTTATCTCTCTGGTTCTCCTGCTCACAATGAGAAGGCCAACCGCAAGACCTGCAGTGTCCATTATCAGCATTACAACTGCTAGAACACCACAGAGATCTTAGTGTTGTGCACCTCAAAAGAGCACAGTTATGGTTGCAGAGGCAAAAGGACCATCTGCATTTAATGTATTTGAGATAATCATTTGTACTTGGGGATTTACATTCTAGGACCAACTTTCCTACTTCAGAGTTGAGGGGTGAAAAACTGAAGATCTGTACATGTTTCACAATAAAATACGGAAAGAATACTAATGCCTGCTGGAGTGTCATCTTGGCATGTTCCAGGTACATATATTTTGATGTCAGTATACTTAGACAACTTCTTAACCAGCATTCAGTGTGCATATATATACATGAATAGGTCTGTCATAAATAGGACCTATACATGAATAGGTCTATATATATCACTCCCCCCCCCGTCCAGGTTATTGACATTTTCAGCTCTTATTAATCACCTGTCCATAGATAATGTCTTATTTGCTCTACGTGCATTTCATGTGTCAAACTTTTGTGTGTGTACTGTGAGCCAGTCAACTGAATGAAAAGGAGTACTAATGTAGGTAAAAATATGATGTGGCTTCAATATTACTTTTATATATAAGTAATTCAGATGATTTCACATATTTATTTCAGTAATTCAGATGATTTCACACAATTATTGTGAAATCATCTGAATGAAACCACATCATAGAGGTCTTAGCACATAAAAATTATCTATAGACAGGTGACTAATAAGAGCTGAAAATGTCGATGACCTCGGCAGGGGGGAGAGAATTTGGATGTATTTCTCTTCAGGTACCTCTCAATAGAAAGGCATTATTATTCTTTAATAATTAGAGGAAATCTTTATTCCACCTTGCCTCATATGTGTGTTTCTGTGGTTTCACTAATTAGCAAGATGACCCAACTTCCGTTCCAAAAAATCTGAGGAATGTTTAGTGACTTATGTGCTTTCTTTTAATCTCCACTTGTATTAATAGTTGTAGGAAACATAAAAAATAATTAATCTTTCTAAAATGGAAGCATAGCACTGCCACGAACATCATATTATCTCTCTGCCTTGAACTGAGAACTTAAAACTGATTCAACATGCGTTTCAGACATGTAATTCCCCAACTTGTTCAAACCAAATGTGCACATCCAATATGATCCAATAATGAAAAGCAGTCAAGAACTGCACCTCAAGTGACCTTTTTTTTTGCCTCATCTTTCTTGAGGGAAAGGGAAAAAAGAAAAGAATTTTAAAAATCCCCCTCCATGTCCGTTCCTGTCCTTATGCTTTGTTTAAGTCACTTTACAATCATGAGAAACCAAAATCTTCCTCCTTGCTCCACTGTGGAGGAGGGCAAAGAGTAAGCATTTGATTTTTTTTTCAAAAGTGGCATTGTTACATCAGTGGTGTCTTAGGGTTCCAAAAAAAAAAAACAACAACCAGAAAATCACCCCTTTCCTTCCTCTCTTTCCCCTGCCACAGGGGAGTAGGAGGAAGCTTTCCATTTCCCAAAACTGTGAAGTAGTCTTAGGAAAGGGACAGCTTCAGCCATACACTTTGGTTCAATCCCAGCAATCACACATGCTGGAACTGAGACAAAACAGGGGGGGGGATGGGACACAAGCCTCTGATAGGGACCCGGAAAGGCTTAGGTAGGCAAAGATCAGGGAAGGGATAATTCATTATGATCCCCTATGTCACATGGTCACCTGGAAAAGGTGCAGACCAGAACAGACCAAACTGCAGAACAAATCCCCCTCTGATCACATCCTGAGCCACTGATCTATGAAATCTGTCACAATAACATACTGGTTTTGGTGTTCAAGACCAGAGGGATATTGGAAAGGAGGAGTGTGCTTTAAAGCCCAAACTCGACTGCTGGTGGCGTTGATTTATTGTATGAAGTGGAGGGATAAGCTTTGGCATTTAACCACAGGTTTTAAATTCCTAAATTAATCACAGGCTAAGCCAAACTACCCCCAAGCCAAGACCCAACCCACTCTGGATTCTGCACTAATCCTAGCCCTTTCCACTGTAGCAGCTGTCCAATCTATTTCACATTCAAACTCACTTAACAAACTTACTTGACACCCTTGACAGAAGCATCAGGTCCTCTCCTCTCCTGGAGAATACTGCTGCACCATGACTGTGTTGACAATACACTCCCCAGACATCCGAATTATCAATGTGATTTTCTGGGCCATTTCAGAAATATCCAGCATGTCATTTGTCTGTGGTATTCACAGTTGCATGCCCAGGAATCAGAGAGGCCTGGCATCAATACTCCTTTCAAGCAGCCCGCTACATTGCCATAGGCGCCACAAATTCTGTGGCATGCAAAGGGAAATGGGCAGAAGTAGAGGCTGGGCTCCTGTGCTTTAGGCAGCTAATAAGGATTGGAACTAGCTGACTGGATAGATCAATGGTATCAAAAGTATCTGGCTTCAGAGATAAAAGTTGGGAGTTGAACTCCCCACAATGCCTCCTGTGAGTAGAGCCCGCTGTGCAGTCATTGGCAAGCCACACAGTCCCAGGGTGCCCTCAGAAGAAGAGAATGGTGAACTTCCGGCTTGACGCCGCGACAAGACAGCAGCAGGAGGACAGAGCTCTGTCCCCTGGGCTGAAATTCTGACCTGCTTGGGACACCATATGGTTTCGGAACCACCCCGGAGAGGTGGTGAACTGGGGGGAAAGCCTGTTGATCACGGGGGAGACGGCGGTCACCCCCGTTTGATCCAGGAAACTCCCTAATCAGCCAACGGGCAGAAACAAGCAAACCTTTGCTTGCAAGTCATCGGCAGCCAACTAATAAACAACAATCAAGCGATGCAACATCACCGTTACTACGGGTGAGATAACTAATTGCTTGTGATTACCCCTGGACAATACAATTCCTATATATCGGAAAAAGAACCTTCTATCACTCTCATGAATCATTAGCGGCAGATAATCTGGAGAGAGGATAGTTGATATGAAAAAATAATATGAAGATTAATTGGATTTAACTACTGTACTCATTCAAATACATTTAAAAATACTTTAAGAACATTATAATCTGGCGTTGTAGACCTTAAAGAATTTTCTCATAAGTTATTACTAGACAAGTTTCGACTTATATTTTGTCTACTTGAACTCTTTTGGCATAACGCCTAGGAACACTGACCTTGAACACTTCACGGCTGTTTAAGGCTTGGAAGCCTGTTTATCTCTCTTTGACTTTTTTTTTATGTCTGGCTGGATAAATTAACCCTAAAGTGGATTTTTCTTTAAACAATACCTTGGCCCAAAGTGAACCTTTTGGAACTAACTCCAGAGACTTGGAATT